GGTCCAGGCAAAAGTTAGGGAATTAAAGCGTATGACTATGTCCCATCGGATCACTTTACGGACAACCTTTGACTTCCGCTGACAAACTCAGAGTTTCTGATCAATTCAATCATCTTCGGACGAAGCAACAAATAGACAAGATATTTGGAGATATAAAGGCTATAGCAGAATGGCAACCCCATGGGATTATTACACATAGCTATCCTTCTCTGCATAAAATTTTCTTGTTTTCGACAACATTCTCTTACAAGAATGTGTGTCCCCTTTGTACAAAAATACTTACTCAAAGTCAATACAAAGACGTCCCTTGAAAGTGCAAAAACTACCTGTCTTTTTCTTTACACTTGTGTTTTGTTGGCAAAAACGTCCAATAATTCATTGATGAACATATGCATTTGAACATAATTACTGTTTACAAATAAACAAAATGAGAAAGACAATTTCTGATAAGTTGAAAGGACAGGAAAACATCTCTAGGCTATTCCATAAGTAATCCCCACAGTACGTCATTTGAATCCCCAACAAGACTAGGCATCAAATTTTTAATCCCCAGTGGAAATCATCAAAATTCTCGGGATCCCCCAAGCAGATCTTACAATGCAATACATGGCATTTCCCTCACAACGGAATTTATTTCTCTCAATAGGAGTTCGTCAGTACTTCAATTTCAAGACATGAAAATTCAACATATCCTCAGCAGCATTCAAGGATTTATTTTCCTCAATCGAACAACAATACAACAAATCAGCTTATATGCGCATACATTGTATCCACATATCATAAACATTGATAAAGCAAATACATTGCATTATACATTTCATACAACATAACCTCATGTTTTAGCTAACATTTTACCCTTTTCAGGATAAGATTAACAGTCACCACTAACAATATGCAATCAGATACAGTTCAGATACGCTCCAGATATGGATGCCATCCAGATACTCATTCAAATTCAGCTTTCAGATACAGTTCAGATACGCTCCAGATACGGATGCCATCCTGATACTCATTTAGATTCAGCTTTCAGATACAGTTCAGATACGCTTCAGATACGGATGTCATCCTGATACTCATTCAAATTCAGCTTTCAGATACAGTTCAGATATGCTCCAGATACGGATGTCATCCTGATACTCATTCAGATTCAGCTTTTAGATACAGTTCAGATACACTCCAGATACAGATGCCATCCTGATACTCATTCAGATTCAGCTTTCAGATATAGTTCAGATACGCTCCAAATACGGGTGCCATCCTGATACTCATTCAGATTTAGCTTTCAGATACAATTCAGATACACTCCAGATACGGATGCCATCCTGATACTCATTCAGATTCATCTTTTAGATACAATTCAGATATGCTCAAGATATGGATGCCATCCTGATACTCATTCAGATTCAGCTTTCGGATACAGTTCAGATACGCTCCAGACACGGACGCCATCCTGATACTCATTCAGATTCAGCTTTCAGATACAGTTCAGATACGCTCCAGATATGGATGCCATCCTGATACTCATTCAGATTCAGCTTTCAGATACAGTTCAGATACGCTCCAGACACGGACGACATTCTGATACTCATTCTTCCAGCTTACAAATTACAATTCAACAAGCATTCTTGGATGGCATCTACAAGCCCATCTCCAACAAGATTCTACCATCTCTCCAAATGGCATCTTTAAGCCCATTCCTCCTATCATCGCATCACCGAGTGCAAATTTCTGGGCACTCTAGTGTCCAATCGTCTTCCACCTTCGAGTCACGAATGGCAAAACTCGCCAATCTAACTCTTCAGGTTTAAGAAGATTGAACATGGGCAGCTGTTGTACCCCAAAATTTTCCCTCTCATTTGTCAAGTATTTGCTCACAAGATCTTCTACTACATCAAGTTTGCAGCACTGATGCATCAATTTAGGCTTGAAATTGGCACAAGGGCAAAATGGTCAATTGCATACTAAAAAGTCAAACTTTGACTTTTTGATCAATATTACAATTCAAAGATCAAATTTCATCAAAACATGTCAAAATATGAAACTTATTCATCAAGAAATCAAAAAGTCAATATTTAATTTTGAAAAGTCAAAATTTCTAAACTTTGAATTTTTCTTAGTGTTGGAAATTTCATGTTTTTTTCATAACTTTAAGCAAATTTTCACCATGATGCAAGATGATTCAAGAGAAACTTCCAACATGAAAGTTGTAGATCTCCATGATATCTAAAACATTTCTTTACACAACTTCTCATAAATATGCTTGGATTTTAAGTTATAAATTCATGAAGTCATGACATTTTCATTTAACACTTAGAGAAATTTTCAGCAGTTTTGATCAGGTTTTTATCCCAACTTCTTGGCCAATTTTCATCAAGTTCCAGTTTGATTTAACAAAAGTGGTCAACATGAAAGTTGTAGGGGAGGTTCCAAACTTTCCAAAAAGTCTAAGAACTCATTGAGATCATTCTTGAGCTGATAGGATCGAAGAGATGAAGTTAGGGTTTCATTCTTGAATTACAAAGCAGAATTTATGATGAACACTTGACTAAAATTCCAAGCAAATCTACAAGATCTCTATTTTCAGGCTATGTTCTCTCCAAATCTATGCATAATCAAGCAATTACACAAACCCTAAGTGTATTACACAAGCATTTGAAGTTTTGTCCAAGTTTTGATATCATTTATGGTTAGAAATGCTAAATCAACATTTCCATTTGTATAAAGCTTCACTTTTCCAACCACTCTCTTCTTTCAAAGCTTGAAATTTGTTCCAAAGATGACAAAAAAATCTCTCAACATCAGAAGCAATCCACAAGACCTGCAAAGCATGGCTAAATTCCTTAATTCACTCCTTTCTTCATCATGAAGCAACTTGTCTTTATGAATTTGAAAAAAAATGCATAACAGGTGATTTTTAAAAAGACTAAGTTTCTCAAGTCTCAAACCTTCTCTATAAATAGAGAGGCCAATCACAAGAGAAAGATGGTTAGAAAAAATAGAGAGAGGCCTGAAAAAATAGAAGGAGAAACTAACACTCAAACTCATTTTTGCTGTCAAAAAACCAGATTTGTCCATAAAACCTCCATTTTTGAGCTTTGAAGTTCAACTCTTTGAATCTCATACCTTGCAAGTTTTCTCCAGACAAACCATCCAAACACTTCATATACACCATATAGAAGTTGTTCAAACACAAAGACAACTTCTGTAACATCACTATCACCATCTTCCAAATTCAAAAAAACATACATTGCAACTTGACTCGGTTGGAGTAGTTCAACAATTTTCAGTACAAAAGAAAGATTGGAGTTACTTCAGGAAGGTTCAAAGGAGCTTGATCAATCACCATTTTACACTCGGAAACATCCGTACGTGTCCTAAAGCTTCCGCTTCGAGAGGTAAACTTTCTCAAACTGTGATCTCATTGTTCATACATCATTTGCTTTTACGCTCAAAAGACATAACAAGACAAATCAAAGAGAAAAAACTAACAAAAAGCCAGACCAGAGCTTGACACGGGTGCCCGTGTCACATGACACGGCCCGTGTCAGCTTATTTGGGTTGAAAAACATAGTAAAATGCAGGTACAGAGGCTGACACGGGTGCCCGTTGTTGTACCCCAATTTTTGACCTAAGATCCCATTCTTATTTTTGCATTTTTAAGATAAGTCAAGGTCACGAAATACATTCGGTTTTTAACGTCTCACCTTCGAGCTTTGACTATGCGAAGATTGTCAAGTGTTTTGAACATTTTTAGCATATGTATCACTAATTTTTAATCGCATACAAAGGTGTATGTTCATGTTATTTTGTGTCATGTGCAGAGATAGGTCTGAATCAAGAGCATCAGGTGTCACACCCCAATTAAGGTTTTGAGTCTCCCAAGCCAGAAGTACGGTTGATTGCGGATTCTCGAAGACTGATTCATCAAGGCACACCGTTGCACCCTTAATTTCGCCCCTAATTTTTTCAGTCGCACATTCATACCATATTTTGTCATTTGGTCACAATCATTAGTAAATATCTTCATTCATCATATTTTGCATCATTAGTCGTATTTAAGTTGACCAGAAAAGTCAGTTTAAATCAAAGTTTGCATCGTCTTTTAGTTAAAAAATACCTGACATTTCACTTCATTCATTTTGATCTCTTTACTCGTTTCTTGCATTGCTCCAAGTTGTTTATATGTCGATAATAAAAATATTTTGGTTTTATAGACAAACTGTTAAAAGCGATTCAACAATGTACGAAAAATTAGCGAGAAAAATATTTCAAGTTTCCACCTTTTACCGATCATTTTAAGAATCTACGTCTCGCATAGATTATGACGGTATGCTTGCTTTATTTTTTCGGTACAGTTCGAGGTCTCGTTTTTAACCTTAAACGTTTGTTTAGTCTGATATTTTTATTACTATTTTATTTTTGATTTTTTGACTTCTTGAATATTTTTTTCTTTAATCTTTGTGACATGTAGATTATTTTAATGTGTTCATTTTATTTTTTCGGATAAATTTTTCGTCCGTTTTTTATCATTCTGGTCATTTTGGGTCTTTATATTTTATTCATAAAATATTCAAAAAAATCATTTTAAATTGAGTTAATTTTAATACATTTAGTTTTTTTTGGTTATTTTTATCATTTAAGGGCTATTTGGTCACAAAATATATTATTTACACTTTGCTCAATTCTCATTGCTTGATAGCATGATTTGCGGATTGATAGAGATTGAATTTATATTGAACGGCTTGGATTTTTTTTGAAATCATAATATTTCTCTTTATGTAATGGGGACACACACACCAAAAAACAACTAGCAGTAATACTCCCTCTATCCTCTCTTAAATTTACACACCATTTCCATTTTTTCCTTCAGCCACAAACCCCAATAAAACCCTTCTTCCTTCCACCTCCGTTCAACGTAGTTAACCCTCTTCACCTCCCTCTAAGGTTCTATCTCCAACAATGAATTACTAAAACGCATCGTTTCCACCACATTAACTTCGATGAATCCTCCATCGCACTTCTTCTTCTCTGCCCTACATTTACTCTTCATTTTCCTCACCTCCTCCGCCTCCCAACCGGAGCTCCGATCTCTACTAGAATTCAAAAAAGGCATAACCTCAGACCCATCAAATCTCGTTCTCAACTCATGGAACCCCTTTTCCATCACCGACTTCGACATTTGTCCACCCAAATGGGAAGGAATCTCCTGCGACGAACTCACCGGAAACGTCACCGGAATTGTACTCGAGAATCACAACCTCACCGGAGAGATAAAGTTCCATACTCTCCTCGACCTTAAAATGCTCAAAAACCTCAGTCTCGCCGGGAATCAGTTCTATGGTGGACTTTCCATTACTCTTGAGAATGTTTCCTCTTTGGCTAATACTGTTCGGTTTTTGAACGTCAGTCACAATAAATTGAACGGGAACTTCTTTCTGAAGGACGCAATTGGGTTGTTTTGGAACTTGCGAGCTTTGGATTTGAGTGATAATATGATTAGAGGGGAGCTTCCTTCTTTTGTTTCCTTGCGTGAACTTCGAGTTCTGAAACTTGCGAGTAATCTTTTATTAGGGGCTGTGCCGGAGGACTTGTTGTTGACTTCAATGTCTTTGGAAGAATTGAATCTCAGTTCCAATGGATTTACTGGCTCAATTGGTGTAATTAACTCTACCACTATAAATATTTTGGATCTTTCATCTAATAGTTTATCAGGACCATTGCCAACTTCTTTGAGAAGCTGTACAATCATAGATTTGAGCAGGAATACGTTTTCTGGCGACATTTCTGTAATAGAGAACTGGGAAGCCACTATGGAGGTTATTGATTTGAGTTCAAACAAGCTGTCAGGATCCTTGCCTTCAATTATAGAATATTCAAAATTGTCTACCCTTGACTTAAGTTTGAATGAACTTAATTGACCTATTCCAGTTAGTTTGGTTATTTCACCATCACTGACAAGACTCAATCTTTCTGGAAATCAATTTACAGGACCACTTTTGCTTCAAGGTTCAGGGGCTAGTGAATTATTACTCACGTCTCCTTTTCTGCCAATGGAATATTTTGATGTATCAAACAACTCTTTAGAAGGCTTCTTGCCTTCTGATATAGGTAGGATGGTTAAGCTCAAACTGCTGAATCTAGCAAGGAATGGCTTTTCTGGACAAATTCCTAATGAATTGAGCAAACTTATTGATTTAGTGTCCCTCGATTTGTCTAACAACAAATTTACTGGCAATATTCCTGACAAGCTTTCGTCTAGCTTGAATGTATTTAATGTGTCCAACAATGATCTATCTGGCCTTGTTCCCGAAAATTTGCGGCGATTTCCTACATCATCCTTTAACCCTGGAAATGAAAAGCTTAAGTTATCAAATGATTCTCCTAGTTATCCGTCACTGCCAGGCACTGTTCAAAATAAACATCATAGTTCAAAGGGTAATATCAGGATAGCAATTATCCTTGCTTCTGTGGGTGCTGTTGTGATGATTGCTTTTGTTTTATTGGCTTATCATCGAACACAAGCAAAAGAATTTCACGGGAGAAGTGAGTTTGGTGGTCAAACTACTGGAGGACTTTCAAGGGCTTCTCTCTTCAAGTTCCATTCAAATGCTCTTCCTCCATCATCTTCGGCAAGTTTCGGTAAGTCCCGATATCATTTTGCTTTTGTTGTTTGTGAAACTGCCACACTGTTTGAATCTGAATTGTAGTTTTGTTATCAGTTTCGTTTCATTTGTGAATAAAGTTTTCGATGACATTATTATGCGAGTTAAATATGAATGCTAGTCTGGATTTCATCTTGTTTTGTTTGTGTTGAATTTGGCATGTTGAAGATAAATTAGCATTATGCATGTTCGATTAAATCAATGCGAAGTTTTTTCTTGTTGTCTAACTAGTAGTTTGATTCAATTGGATTTTGCAGAATTAAATCGTCTATGGAATTATTTGTTGTTACCTTAAATTGTTGAACACTTTTGAGTTGATTTTATCGAGTATACGCGGTTGCTTTTTGACACATTTGAAATAATGTATGCAATGCTGATTTTTTGTGTGTTTACATTGAATAATGTCATGAATTCTTGATTTTAATTTGTGTAAATATTCATCTATTCGTATGCATCATACAATTTCATTTTTTATTTTATACTTACTGACACATGTTTTAATCATTGCAATTTCATTTCATTTTCATTTTTATACCGCTTATGCTACTAACGTGTTTGTTACTGTGAAGGTTTCCGATAATTCATTTCAAGTATTCATACTCACATAAGGCATTTTCACTTTTTCTTTCTCCCTTTACCTCTTCATTGTATTTCATTATTTTTATTTAATATTTGGTATTGTAAATATATACTTATTCATAATATTTTGTCTATATATTTTATTCACTTAATTTGCATATAAATTCAGGTTATGTAAATATTATTTTCATCGCATTGCGATTTTATTTTTTTTTAAAATTCCAACTAACTTCTAAAAATCGCACGGACGCATATAATTTTTTTCATGCTGTTAGTTTTGTCTGTATATTTCATGTGATGCAGGGAATCTTATACCGTGAGCTTTATTCACGCGTTCCTCGTCTGTGATTTATTTTCACGTGTTGCACTATTTTTATTCGCTGCTTGGAGTAATATCTTACATCTGGTTTTTTGATGCTGTCGGCTAGTGATTTATTTTCACCTTAGGTTTGGTATACTCTTAGCTTATTTATCTGTCTGTGGTTTTAACTCCAAGGGAAAGATTTAAATTTGTTGACTTCATGTCATCAAATACATCTCATCCGATCGTGCGAATACCCTTTTTCATTTTTTGTTTGTTTACTATTTTGCTAAACTCAAGATAATTTTCCCAAAAGACTCCATTTTCAAACTCACACCTTTTAAGTAAAAACTTCGACGCTAGGTCGTCGTATCTTCAAAATCTCGCCAACACCTATTTTTAGCCAAACGAACCATTTTAATCAAACAAACAATTTTAACCAAAAATAGATATTTCAAAAGGTTCCTGCAGAGTACCGCAGATGCATTGGGTGCTAATACCTTCCCATTGTATAACCAACCCCCGAACTCTCGATCTCTTTCAAAAACGCATTGTATTTTTATTACTTTTAAGTATTATTTTACATTGCATATTTTAGGGTTTTATTTCGCTCTTTTCCCTTTTCCCTTGGAAATAATAAAGCGCGGTGGCGACTCTTGCTTTTTGTGAGTCAAGTTAATTAATAGCTTGATCTCTGATTTTCACCGCTACAGAATTGGCGACTCTGCTGGGGAAAGATTGACCTCTTGCTGGTCCATCCCTAAGTGGGTTAAGCCTAATTTATTTTATCTGTTTTATCATTATTTGATTGTTTGATTATATGTATATATTATGATTATTTGGGTGTTGATAATAGGTACAAAGGACAAGTCCTATACCCGGACTAAGTTACACTTAGGAATAGGACGGGCGGTATAGTCATGTTAACTTTGAGGGAGTAATCCCGAAGAAGGAGGCATGAGATCCCCCACTCAGTGGAAGGCCCTTTTGAATGTAATATTTGTTTACCGAGTAATCGGGAAGACATTATTATTTTCGACCTGGGAGCCAGAGAAGCTGGGAACCGTAGAACCCTAACCCATCTTGGCCTTTTAGGTGTAGCGCGGAGATTATAACGGAGTAATCCGGAAGTAATTATTACGCGATGCTACGCTCGGATGAGTTTCTCTTGAGAATATTGCTGATTATTGAGTAATCAAGACGTTGGTAATATCCGAAGGAGGAATGTAGACTCCGGGAACTCTTAGAACCTCGTTCTACAGGTGTGATTAAACCGTTAGTACATACCTTGGGGGTGTTCCTTACCTTGACTCCATGCTCGTGACGTTGAACCTTTCGACTTTGTGTGTGACCTTGCTTGTGGTAGTTGCATAGCCATGCATTCATGCATCCATAAAACCCTTTTCACTTGAATTTGAAGGAATTTGGAGGTCTTTCTTTGTAAACATCACAAGTTTCGTCAAGCTCAATGGATCTTGGGTGTTGATAGGGCGAAAACCCTAATCCACCAAAATGGATGATTGATCTTGATGATAACTTGATCAATGTTTGGAGCCAATTTAAAATTCATCTTCTATCTTCATACTCGGATGTTTACAACTTAATATCTTGAGTTCCTTGAAAATCAAATAAAAATTCTCTTTTGTATATCATACATCATTTTACATTTTTTGTTTCACTTTCAAAGGTCTTTTTCCGAGTCTTATTTTTTCCTTTGGTCTCACCAGTACAACACTCGCGCTATGAGAGCAATGGAGAATATCAAGCAAGAGGTTTCTGAACTTCGTAGAGGGATGACTATTTGAAAGCTAGTGTGGAGCACTTAACTAGTTTGGTCGAAATTTTGGTTACCGCCCAAGTCAATCCTTCTAGAAGGGAGGAAGCGATGATAAAAGTCTTCACTGAAACTCTAAAATCATTCTCTCATGAGAAGGTGATGTTTAATGCACCTAATGATTTTCCTGACAAGGTGAATGTGGGAGTGCGTCTAGAAGAAGATGTCGGAAAGGGATGTTTATATGAAGATGATAGCTCAGCTAATGGTGTGAAGAAGTTTGATAATGACTTTTCCAAGAAGATAACCAGAGGAAGAAATAATCATCATCAGAATCATCATGTTTCTCCCATCTATCGACAGAATCAGCAAGTTCCTAATCAGAGGAAAACCCAGTTTGATCCAATTCCAATCACCTATACAGAGTTGTTCCCTATCCTGATGCAGAGGAATTTGGTTCAGACCCGACCTCCACCGAAGGTTCCTGAGAAGATACATTGGTACTACAAAGCTGATTTGGCTTGTACCTTTCATCAAGGTGCTCCTGGGCATGACTTGGACGGTTGCGTTGCTTTGAAGATTGAGGTTCAGAAGTTGGTCAGAAGTGGTATCTTGTCATTCAAGGACGTTGGTTTTGAAGTTCAAATCAAACATGCGCCGAAGAGTAAACACGATTGATGGTGATTTTTATTTTTTGAGGGATGTTTTCGGTAATTCAAGTCCAGATGGAAAGCCTTCCCAGATCATTAACTTATTTATGCTTTTTGTAATCTTTCTTGTTTATCAAAACATTGTCTGCATGTAAGAACTTGTTTGCATCTGAATGATTATCTTAATACAATGGGTATGTTTGTCTTGAAGAAATTCATTCGTTTCACTCATATTTGTTTTCAAATTTTAAATTTCTTTTTGCACTATGATACCAAATTGTTGCTCATTCTCTTGCCTAGGCAGAGATTGAAGGGAGGATGATGATCTAAAGAACACAAAATCTCTGGTTGCATGCTTTTGGATAAAATCTTGCTGATGATGTATAGGCATTGTTTCAAATCCCTAAACACTGGAGATATAAGGAAGATAATCCCTTGCTAACCCCTTTTGAGCCTTTGAAGCAGAAGTTTCTTTTCTATACGAAAAAACCTTGAATTTTAACCTGGGGCAGGGTAGTTTTTTAGTTAATTTGACTGAGTGTTCAAAATTCATAAGGAAGATGTTTTTTGAAGAGAAACTACGAGGGCTATCCTTCATGTATAATGAATCTAGAGGATGTGGAACCACAATGTTATCCCTCATTCATCAAGAAACGAGGCAATCACAATCCTCTCAACAAGCAAAGACAAGCTAATGTCACACATTTTGTTCAAAAAGTCAAAAATCGAGAAAAAGAAAAAGCCTGCTAAGTCAAAAAACATGAAAACGTGTGACTTAGGCAAAATTAAGGCATCCCGCTGGACTATCAATTCAAAAGAATTAGTTCAGGCAAAAGTTAGGGAAAATAAAAGTGCAAAGAAAAGGACTACAAAGAAAAGTCCTCAGCAAAGAACAAATTGGTGACTACAAACACGAAGACATGAGGGTGGTTTCTACTCCGAAAACCTCATCGTTTCCTTGACCGTCACAAAATCCTTTTGAGAGATGAACACTCATGTTGAATTAACTGAACATAGGGTTGGAGAACATCATGAAGGGGGTGGGCACCAAATATTTTGAGCCTTAAATCCTTTTTTCTAAAACCATGAACCAGACCACATTACAACCTTCAAAAGTCCTAATTGAAGCAAGGTTATTTTGAAAGCATACTTCAATGAGATAGTGTTCCTGACTCCCATGAATGGTCTAAATAGTTATGTTGGTATCATATGTTTTTCCTATACAAAAATAAATGATGCTCTAACTCGTGAAATTTGTGCGATATCTTTTCAAAATCTTCAAGACTTACATAACAGTTGCATTAGAATTTTCATTCTCATAATAAAATTTTCTAACTGCAAAACATTTGTTTAATGTCAAGGAAGCTCACATAAGCACCAGTGATGAGTTTATTCTTTTAAGGCTTGAAACTATGTTGAGTAATTGGCGAATCATTTCAAGAAAAAATCATCTCCAGGGGCATGTCAGCTGAAGACCTTAAGCACGGACATGTTGCTTCTCCCAGTTAATGCTTTCCCAACTTCTTTACCCTTTATTGGGGCAAAATTTAAAGACTTTATTGTGCCAACTACAGTTAATCCGGGGCAATCACGTCGAGATTTGATGAATTCCTCTAAGAGTTTGAAGACGCCTGAGCATGGTGAATGCCAGGTCTTTTGTAAAATCCTCTTGAGACGATTTCTCCTCATCAACCAGATAGCTTGGGGCATTTTAGAGGTGAAGCTATTCGCAAGAATTGTCGTGCATCACGCAGCTTATCAGCAGTAAACTTGGGGCATCCAAAATTAATCCCAGGGGCAATCCAGATTTGTCAAGATATGTTTTTCATACATTATCAGAGGGTGGTGTTCCCAGTATCTCCAGCTAAGCAAGACTTCTTTCCAGCTGAAACTTTGTTTGTGTTGTTATCCTTTCAATGGATTGTTTGCAATAAAAGACTGGACTTTGGGTTTTCTACCTGAAAATATCTTCCTCTCCAGAGATATTTAAGCCTTGTAAAAGGACCTTGCTCCAATGATGGCCTGTGTTTTATCTCCAGTAATGTTCCCATCCTGTTGAGATTAGCCGAGTGTTGGGTTGTGCTATGATGTCTTATCATCTCCAGTTTATCTTGTCTATTTGTTTTGTCAGCATATACATGACATTCATTTATTCATTCACACTTGCATCATGCATGCACAGTTGTATTTGTTCATGCCATTGAGTTCGTATACCTTGGTTGTGTCTATTCAAATAGTGTATTTGATCTTTCCAAATAGAGTGTCAACTTAAGCAGAAATTGCGCCTCTTTTTCTAATTCCCCACTGAGTTAACTCTCGTGGAAGAATCTTGCTTTAGCTTTCCTTTTCCATCTCTGGATAGGATAAATCCCCATTTGAGTTGTTTCCTCATTGGGTGGAGTCTTGTTTGACTATTTTCTCTCCAGTTTATTCTTGGATTGAGCTTTGTCTCTTGTGAACGATACCCTGTGGATCTCTCTAGGCTGTGAAACCTAGAGGGAGAATGCGTTTATTTTGCAACGTAAATACTTGGTCTCCTCAAGAAGGATTTATTCATGGTTCCCCATTGAAGATGAGCTTTATTCCCCAGCAGTGTTATCACAACCTTCTTATGGAATATCGACATGACAACAAGCGACTGACTCTTTATTTGAGCAGTTTGATTATTTCTGATGTCTCTACGACAAATGGCAGTCTCTTCATGAGCAGTTTGTCCATCCCCGATGAAATTATTGGTTCTCACCTCCAGCAATATCTTCACGATATTTTATGGGTATCTTTTTTGGAAACAGCAAGCGGCGGTCTCTTCATGAGCAACTTGTGTGTTATGGATACTCTTGACAAACAGCAAGCGGCGGTCTCTTCATGAGCAACTTGTGTGTTATGGATACTCTTGACAAACAGCAAGCGGCGGTCTCTTCATGAGCAACTTGTATGTTATTGTTACCTGGGAAAAAAACATCAAGCGGCGGTCTCTTCATGAGCAACTTGTATGTTATTGTTACCTGGGAAAAACAGCAAGCGGCGGTCTCTTCATGGACAACTTGTATGTTATCAACACTTTTTGAAAACGGCAAGTGGCGGTCTCTTCATGAGCAGCTTGTACGGAAAACGGCAAGTGGCAACTTCTTCATGAGCAGCTTGTACGTTAGTATTTTTTGGAAGACAGCAAGTGGCAGCTTATCTAGCAACTTGTGTGTTATTGTTCCCTTGAAGACAACAAGTGGCAGCTTCTTCATGAGCAGCTTGTGGGTTTTTGGCAACAAGTGGCGGACTCTTCATGAGCAGCTTGTATGCTTTAATTTTCTTTGAAGACAGCAAGTGGCGGTCTCTTCATGAGCAGCTTGTATGTTATTGACACCTTTGAAAGGAAGCAAGTGGCGGCCTCTTTATTTGAGCAGCTTGTGTATCCCTAACAATAATGTCTACTCAGCTAATGGCATCCCTTCGGAAAAGTCCCGTGGGGAAGTTTGTTATCCTTTTCAAGCGATATCTTGGTTAGAGAAGAAATGTGTTACCGTTCTTGGTAAAATTCAGAAATCAAAGATGTTTATCTCCAGCCACAGTGCTGATGTCAATCATTTTCCAGCCACAGTGCTGATGTCAATCATTTTGTTTTCCAGCCACAGTGCTGATGTCAATCATTTTCCAGCCACAGTGCTGATGTAAATCATTTCTTGTTCCAGTCTTCGTACTGATGTAAATCATTTCTTTTCCAGTCTCAACACTGATGTAAATCATTCAAGAGTCTCTTATTTGAAGTCTATGACTATGCTTCCCCAATGGAGTTACAACCTCTTCCTCTGTGGGATTACTGTATAATGTGCTTGGTTTCTCCAACATAGTTTGTCTCATATGGCGTCATTCCCCATAAAATTCAAAGCATTACATTCATATCATATCATGAACATAATCGCGGTATCTTAAGGCCAAAAATTGTGTATTCTATATTTAAGTCCCTTCAATCTCGTCGAAATGAAGATCCCAATCTTCATATCTCCAGATAGAAGAAACTTAAATAGGGGCAGCTGTTGTACCCCAATTTTTGACCTAAGATCCCATTCTTATTTTTGCATTTTTAAGATAAGTCAAGGTCACGAAATACAGTCGGTTTTTAACGTCTCACCTTCGAGCTTTGACTATGCGAAGATTGTCAAGTGTTTTGAACATTTTTAGCATATGTATCACTAATTTTTAATCGCATACAAAGGTGTATGTTCATGTTCTTTTGTGTCATGTGCAGAGACAGGTCTGAATCAAGAGCATTAGGTGTCGCGCCCCAATTAAGGTTTTGAGTCTCCCAAGCCAGAAGTACGGTTGATTGCGGATTCTCGAAGACTGATTCATCAAGGCACACCGTTGCACCCTTAATTTCGCCCCTAATTTTTTCAGTCGCACATTCATACCATATTTTGTCATTTGGTCACAATCATTAGTAAATATCTTCATTCATCATATTTTGCATCATTAGTCATATTTAAGTTGACCAGAAAAGTCAGTTTAAATCAAAGTTTGCATCGTCTTTTAGTTAAAAAATACCTGACATTTCACTTCATTCATTTTGATCTCTTTACTCGTTTCTTGCATTGCTCCAAGTTGTTTATATGTCGATAATAAAAATATTTTGGTTTTATAGACAAACTGTTAAAAGCGATTCAACAATGTACGAAAAATTAGCGAGAAAAATATTTCAAGTTTCCACCTTTTACCGATCATTTTATGAATCTACGTCTCGCGTAGATTATGACGGTATGCTTGCTTTATTTTTTCGGTACAGTTCGAGGTCTCGTTTTTAACCTTAAACGTCTGTTTAGTCTGATATTTTTATTACTATTTTATTTTTGATTTTTTGACTTCTTGAATATTTTTTTTCTTTAATCTTTGTGACATGTAGATTATTTTAATGTGTTCATTTTATTTTTTCGGATAAATTTTTCGTCCATTTTTTATCATTCTGGTCATTTTGGGTCTTTATATTTTATTCATAAAATATTCAAAAAAATCATTTTAAATTGAGTTAATTTTAATACATTTAGTTTTTTTTGGTTATTTTTATCATTTAAGGGCTATTTGGTCACAAAATATATTATTTACACTTTGCTCAATTCTCATTGCTTGATAGCATGATTTGCGGATTGATAGAGATTGAATTTATATTGAACGGCTTGGATTTTTTTTGAAATCATAATATTTCTCTTTATGTAATGGGGACACACACACCAAAAAACAACTAGCAGTAATACTCCCTCTATCCTCTCTTAAATTTACACACCATTTCCATTTTTTCCTTCAGCCACAAACCCCAATAAAACCCTTCTTCCTTCCACCTCCGTTCAACGTAGTTAACCCTCTTCACCTCCCTCTAAGGTTCTCTCTCCAACAATATTACTAAAACGCATCGTTTCCACCACATTAACTCCGATGAATCCTCCACCGCACTTCATCTTCTCCGCCCTACATTTACTCTTCATTTTCCTCACCTCCTCCGCCTCCCAACCGGAGCTCCGATCTCTACTAGAATTCAAAAAAGGCATAACCTCAGATCCATCAAATCTCGTTCTCAACTCATGGAACCCCTTTTCCATCACCGACTTCGACGTTTGTCCACCCAAATGGGAAGGAATCTCCTGCGACGAACTCACCGGAAACGTCACCGGAATTGTACTCGAGAATCACAACCTCACCGGAGAGATAAAGTTCCATACTCTCCTCGACCTTAAAATGCTCAAAAACCTCAGTCTCGCCGGGAATCAGTTCTATGGTGGCCTTTCCATTACTCTTGAGAATGTTTCCTCTTTGGCTAATACTGTTCGGTTTTTGAATGTCAGTCACAATAAATTGAACGGGAACTTCTTTCTGAAGGACGCAATTGGGTTGTTTTGGAACTTGCGAGCTTTGGATTTGAGTGATAATATGATTAGAGGGGAGCTTCCTTCTTTTGTTTCCTTTCGTGAACTTCGAGTTCTGAAACTTACGAGTAATCTTTTCTTTGGGGATGTGCCGGAGGACTTGTTGTTGACTTCAATGTCTTTGGAAGAATTGAATCTCAATTCCAATGGATTTACTGGCTCAATTGGTGTAATTAACTCTACCACTATAAATATTTTGGATCTTTCATCTAATAGTTTATCAGGACCATTGCCAACTTCTTTGAGAAGCTGTACAATCATAGATTTGAGCAGGAATATGTTTTCTGGAGACATTTCTGTAATAGAGAACTGGGAAGCCACTATGGAGGTTATTGATTTGAGTTCAAACAAGCTGTCAGGATCCTTGCCTTCAATTATAGAATATTCAAAATTGTCTACCCTTGACTTAAGTTTGAATGAACTTAATGGATCCATTCCAGTTAGTTTGGTTATTTCACCATCACTGACAAGACTCAATCTTTCTGGAAATCAATTTACAGGACCACTTTTGCTTCAAGGTTCAGGGGCTAGTGAATTATTACTCACGTCTCCTTTTCTTCCAATGGAATATTTTGATGTATCAAACAACTCTTTAGAAGGCTTCTTGCCTTCTGATATAGGTAGGATGGTTAAGCTCAAACTGCTGAATCTTGCAAGGAATGGCTTTTCTGGACAAATTCCTAATGAATTGAGCAAACTTATTGATTTAGTGTCCCTCGATTTGTCTAACAACAAATTTACTGGCAATATTCCTGACAAGCTTTCGTCTAGCTTGAATGTATTTAATGTGTCCAACAATGATCTATCTGGCCTTGTTCCCGAAAATTTGCGGCGATTTCCTACATCATCCTTTAACCCTGGAAATGAAAAGCTTAAGTTATCAAATGATTCTCCTAGTTATCCGTCACTGCCAAGCACTGTTCAAAATAAACATCATAGTTCAAAGGGTAATATCAGGATAGCAATTATCCTTGCTTCTGTGGGTGCTGCTGTGATGATTGCTTTGGTTTTATTGGCTTATCATCGAACACAAGCAAAAGAATTTCATGGGAGAAGTGAGTTTGGTGGTCAAACTACTGGAGGACTTTCAAGGGCTTCTCTCTTCAAGTTCCATTCAAATGCTCTTCCTCCATCATCTTCGGCAAGTTTCGGTAAGTCCCGATATCATTTTGCTTTTGTTGTTTGTGAAACTGCCACACTGTTTGAATCTGAATTGTAGTTTAGTTATCAGTTTCGTTGCATTTGTGAATAAAGTTTTCGATGACATTATTATGCGAGTTAAATCTGAATGCTAGTCTGGATTTCATCTTGTTTTGTTTGTGTTGAATTTGGCATGTTGAAGATAAACTAGCATTATGCATGTTCGATTAAATCAATGCGAAGTTTTTTCTTGTTGTCTAACTAGTAGTTTGATTCATTTGGATTTTGAAGAATTAAATCGTCTATGGAATTATTTGTTGTTACCTTAAATTGTTGAACACTTTTGAGTTGATTTTATCGAGTATACGCGGTTTCTTTTTGACACATTTGAAATAATGTATGCAATGCTGATTTTTTGTGTGTTTGCATTGAATAATGTCATGAATTCTTGATTTTAATTTGTGTAAATATTCATCTATTCGTATGCATCATACAATTTCATTTTTTATTTTATACTTACTGACACATGTTTTAATCATTGCAATTTCATTTCATTTTCATTTTTATACCGCTTATGCTACTAACGTGTTTGTTACTGTGAAGGTTTCCGAGAATTCATTTCAAGTATTCATACTCACATAGGGCATTTTCACTTTTTCTTTCTCCCTTTACCTCTTCACTGTATTTCATTATTTTTATTTAATATTTGGTATTGTAAATATATACTTATTCATAATATTTTGTCTATATATTTTATTCACTTAATTTGCAAATAAATTCAGGTTATGTAAATATTATTTTCATCGCATTGCGATTTTATTTTTTTTAAAATTCCAACTAACTTCTAAAAATTGCACGGACGCATATAATTTTTTTCATGCTGTTAGTTTTGTCTGTATATTTCATGTGATGCAGGGAATCTTATACCGTGAGCTTTATTCACGCGTTCCTCGTCTGTGATTTATTTTCACGTGTTGCACTATTTTTATTCGCTGCTTGGAGTAATATCTTACATCTGGTTTTTTGATGCTGTCGGCTAGTGATTTATTTTCACCTAAGGTTTGGTATACTCTTAGCTTATTTATCTGTCTGTGGTTTTAACTCCAAGGGAAAGATTTAAATTTGTTGACTTCATGTCATCAAATACATCTCATCCGATCGTGCGAATACCCTTTTTCATTTTTTGTTTGTTTACTATTTTGCTAAACTCAAGATAATTTTCCCAAAAGACTCCATTTTCAAACTCACACCTTTTAAGTCAAAACTTCGACGCTAGGTCGTCGTATCTTCAAAATCTCGCCAACACCTATTTTTAGCCAAACGAACCATTTTAATCAAACAAACAATTTTAACCAAAAACAGATTTTTCAAAAGGTTCCTGCGGAGTACCGCAGATGCATTGGGTGCTAATACCTTCCCATTGTATAACCAACCCCCGAACTCTCGATCTCTTTCAAAAATGCATTGTATTTTTATTACTTTTAAGTATTATTTTACATTGCATATTTTAGGGTTTTATTTCGCTCTTTTCCCTTTTCCCTTGGAAATAATAAAGCGCGGTGGCGACTCTTGCTTTTTGTGAGTCAAGTTAATTAATAGCTTGATCTCTGATTTTCACCGCTACACCCGTGTCAATCGACACGGCCCGTGTCAGAGTTACTGTTGTGTACATGACAAAAAAAAGATGAACAGGGGATGACACGGGCACCCGTGTCAGGATAGTTGGGACCAAAAAAATGCATAAAAGTCATGGACAGGTCCTGACACGGGTACCCGTGTTCCCCGATACGGCCCGTGTCAGCTCGGGCACCAAATTTCTTGATTTTTGGAGATTTTTTAGGTTCTTTTGGACATATTGTATTACTTGGAAGTGACCTAACTTTATAAAACCTTTTTGTTCAAATGAAACCTCAAAAAACAATTTTCTAAACAATTAACTTAGACTTAGATTTTTCTTCAATGAAATTAATTACAAAATCTTTTGCTATAAAAAACCCTAAAAAGCAATTTCTCTCACTTTACATCTTCTTGCATATTTTATTTTTGCATTATAGATTATGTAATTGTCAAAGCCTTGTAATAGTAATTAGGGTTTAATTTTCTTGCAATCCCCATTTTTACATTTGTATACCCCATCCCCATAATGATGTAATAGCGTAGTAATTTTACTTTCCGCAATTTATCGCTTTCATATCTATGTTAGTAATTAGGGTTTATATGGAAAGATAAAACCAACAAATAGAAAACCCTAATCCAAGACAAAATCAAGCATGAAAATAACACACTTGAACACAAGAACCTCTAGGGTTACTCCACTTGGTTGCCTTACATAAAAATGGTCATATTACGCATGCGAAGTATCTTAGCAAAACAAACAAATATAAGATCATAGTCCCTCGATGACGCTATTTAGAGTTGCCTTACAAAAATGATCTTAGTCCCTCAAAAATGCTAAGATGCTTTGCAACATTGCTAATCATGGTTATACGATGACCCACGCCCGTCCTGTTTACATCCAAAGATAGGGTTGCTTACCAAATCAATGGTAAGACAAGAATGTCAAAGGAAAAGAAAATGAACAAGAAAGACATTTGAATAGGTAGATTTCTCCTAATTACTTTCTCCATTTCAAAACAACTATCCTTGCTATTTTCAAAAAAATAAACACACACATTTCCAAACATCTTACAAACATTGAAAACATTTTCAAAAATACAAACATCTTTGTATACATTCTTAGAACGAGAATCATTACAAAGATTGCCTAAACAATGGCCTCTTTACAAAATACTTTCAAAAACCACACAAAACACAACTTCAAACAAAAGGAAGTGATCTAGAAAGTAACTAAGAGCCCATGGAAAACCATGGATGAAAAGGGTGCTAATACCTTCCCTTTTCATAATCTATCCCCCGAACTCAAGAAACAATCTCAAAGGTCTTTCCTGTGCTTTTTCACCTTTCCTTTTGGATAAAAGAAAAGTCGGTGGCGACTCTTGCTAACCGCAACATTTGCGATAAAATGCAAAATCCTCAAGTCAGTTCTCCCACCGTATCACAATCACCTTCAAAAGATGAAAATTGAGCAAGTTATGAGTTTCACAAGTTGGACGATTTTTAAGAAATGCATGAAATGCTAAATGTGCAAACTTGAAATTTTGGACTTGTGACCTAAATTTTTGGACTTCAAACATGTACATGACCTTGCAAAAGACTCCTAAACTCACTCTTACCTTGTCTTGTATTTTCTTATTATTTTATTTATATTTGTTTTGTTTTATTCAAATAAATGCAAAATAAATTAAATAAAATTACAAAAATCATGGGCTATGAATATGAGCTGGATTTAATCAATTTTGAAGCCCATTAATTCGTGAAAGACACACACAAATGGTCCAGGTTCATTGCATATTCAAAAAGGGAAAGTGTTGTACCCCAAAATTTGTCCTCCCATATTCCTCAAGATTTGTCAAGAATGAGCCTCAAATTGCTCAAGTTTGCTCAAAGGATTGTATAGTCAAACCACCTCCTAAGACAGTTGAAATTAGGGTTTTGGTTATTTCAAGGAATTTAGGGTTCTCAATGGTTCAATCAAGTCTCAAGGGCCTATATACATTCTCAAGCACCTACATGCCAAGTTTCAAGACTCACAGTGCCAATTTGCACAGTCAAAAGCCTCATTTGATCTACAGTCAACTGCAAGGGCAAAATGGTCATTTTGCAGTCAAAAGTCAGGATTTTTGGTCAACATCTTATTTTGAGTTCACAATCATCATTTGATCAAGTCTTGATCATGATTCCATAAAGATATCTCAAAAATCATCAAGATGCAAAAGGTTACTATTTTTGGACAGCAGAAAAGTCAATTGTATCTTGACCAGGGCATAACTTTTACATGGTTTGTCAGAAAAATTCCATCCAATTCTCATTTTGAAGGGGATGTGATTTCCTACAATCCCTCTTCACACTCCAAGTTCAAGAAATGCTCTCACAAAAAGTTATCAATTTTGACATTATAGGTCAATTTCAAAAGTCAACAAAAGTACACTTTGAGTCAAAGGCCATAACTTGAGATTCGTAAATCCAAATGACATGGGACCAAAGGCATTGGTTATAGGACTTCAAGAGCTTTCCAAAATGTCAAAGAACATGGTCATATGATCAAAATTGAGCAAGTTGTGCATTGGAGAAGTTGGGAAATTTTTATGAATTTGCAAAAGTCAACTTTGCTCAAAACACCTTATTTTTGCTAATGGGCCTCAAATCTCTTCTTGAAACTTCATCCATGACCTATGCACGACCCATCAAGCTTAATTGAATTTATTTTCTTATTTTTATTGATTAATTGGATTTTTAATTAATTCATTTAATTAATTTAAATTGTAGGAAAATGCAAGATTTGATCTTTCAATCAATTTGTGAAGCAAATATGGTCAAGATATGCTGGAAAATTCGTGCATAAGTCAAAGATACAAAAATCTCCAAATTTGGCAACATTTTCCAATCATGAAAAATCAAAAATATTTGATTTTCAATCAAAGATTTAATCATCATTGCACATGGATTTTTGCCCAGCTCTTGACCTAATTCAATTGCCTTATATATATGCAAGGAAACCCTAACCTAATGGACGTGAAAAAGCTGCAGAAACAGACCATAGCATATTCAAGAATTTCAAAGAAAAGTCAAAACTGATTTTTGCATTCTAGGCTAATTCAAGTTGTTTTGACCTTTCTAATACATTGTAGGAAGTGTCAGGAACATTTTGCAATTGAATTCACGCACCAAAGCTCAAAGAATCGTCCTTTATAGAACCACAATTTGCCTTTTCTATTCCAAATCGTAACTCTTAAATCATGCATATTTAACATGTTTTCTTGATTGATTTGTGTTTCTAGGGACCATACGAAGCTAATGGTATAACTGAATTGGATTATAATGCCTTGAATCAAAAGATGCCATGAACGATTTTCTAGGGTTCTTGAGTTTTCAAAGAGGGCTTTCTAAACCAGGAATAATTGGGACCAGTGAGACACATGTTTGAGATCGTGAGAATAAGATGAACCTAACCCACCCATC